GTTTGGCAGATTTTGTATGCAGATTTGAAATCAGCATCAAAAATTACATCTAGCAGTATAGGTCTCATTCCAAATGGCCACTTCGAATTGGTATCCTTACCTTGTTAGATCCCTGATCATTTTAGTTCTCTGGCTTACACGGTTCACCATCTGCGGCTCTGCTGGAGGTACTGGATCCTGAACAGAACAACTCGTTCACCGACCAGTTAGTGTCTACGATACCATCTTGGAGTCAATCACTGACTATTAACCTTTACTTGCACGAATACTTATGAGTATTTAGTTACCTAAACCTTCCATTCGACCTATCTAAAGTGTTATTCATCGCCACTGCCAACGATCTAACGAAAATCGAAGGTCCACTTGCAGATCGCCTTGAGGTTAGTCGTGGAGGATTTTCAAAACAGCCTTCTAGAGTAGAAACTTCACAGTAAGGTGGTTATTTTCAGATTATTGAAATGACTGGATATTCGACGAATGAGAAAATAGCGATTGCTGAGGGTCATCTGATTCCTCGCCAACTTTTACAACACGGAATCTGCCCGGATCATTTACAAATTCAAAGAGATGCACTTCGGATCATGGGTGAGAACTTGATATTCAGTAGTACTGAACAAGAAACTCATTTATTCAGCAAAACCTAAAGCTCAGTCCTGCACGGATGGAAGATAGCTTTATCGCTGACTAACTGGTGTAACGCTCTGATTGAGTTGTAAACCTAGCCGGTTATAGTGGAACGTGTTTCTGTTCCATAGAACTGAATCTGGCTCTTTTGGAATAGGGTGACCAAGGGACGAATTCTGAACACATGACTAAACTCGTGAGCTTCCCAAGAGCAACACATGGCGAGAGAAGCACAAGTAGGAGATCATCGGCCGATTGACTGGATAGGTTGTCGCCCCACAAAACTGAAGATGCCCCGAGAAACCCATCTGAGATCTCAGCTGTTCTATGGTTTTACGGCGTCGTCCTAACGCCTTGAACATACAGATTAGCCATCAAGAAACATCTGGTCGTCCGCAAGGAGAGTAATTCCGCTATCTGGGTGCAACCTCACGCTGGCTTCCTACGTGGTGGTGGGCTTGCACGGTGCAGCTCGCAGAGATTGAATAAGCGTTCAGTAACCATCCGATCAGTGCTCAGTATTGCGCCTCACTCGGATGTGTTTGGTAATGTTGGTAGGTAACTTTGGGCAAGAAGTCACAACATCCACGTTGTGGTTTCGCATCTCTTATGTTTGGTCAAAGGGAGAGTAAAGTCCTCTGTGTGGGTGCAACTCTCACGTTGGCGTACTACATTTTGGGACTTTAGTTCCACCGCTCCTCAACCTTTCTAATGCGGAGCTAGGGCAACGTCAAATAGAACTGTTGTCATAATTTGGGTCTACATAAGTGTTCAACGTTATGTGCTTTAATCGTCCCAAGCGTTTTCGTTTTCGGTCGATTGCTGTCATCTGAATAGGTGAAAGTCTTGACTGGTCCTCAGGCTGGCTTCGGCAATGAGTCTCATGCGAAGATTCTTTCCATAACAGAAGTAATTGACGCCAAATTTTTTTTACCGCTCTGTACAAGGTTTTTAGTAACTTCGCCTAATTGGGTATTTTCAGTAGAAGATTACACTCGTGAGTCGGGTGTGCGACAACTGGAACGAATGATCGCAGCGACTTGCCGCTTTGTCGCCTTGCGAATCGCAGAGGCGACCAAGGACGAGAACGACTTTGACAGCATGATCAGCTCCGAGCTTCCAATAGTTGTCTCAGCAGAAAACTGCCGAAAGATACTTGGCGTGAGTTTTTGATGATTCCTTCTAATCAAATGAATCCTTATAAGTGAAGCATTCAATAGAGCATATTTTGTTCGTCACTATTGCATGCTGGGTCCTGCTCGCCGGTGAGTGATTAAAGATATCAGTCCCTCGCACCATGCGACGGTCAAAAAGGGAGGAACGCGACGAAGGAGAAGTGGCCAGTCCACTGTGCGTCGTGTCCTCACCGCTTTGGGCAGAGTATAGCATCACTTGTCAAGCCTCAGTTATTTTTGCTTGAAAATGGTATCATGTATTTGGTCTCGGTGCATTGAATGACAAAATGGTGTAAACTACAACCGCAACATGTGCCGGTCTGGGGTAGTCGCGATGAACTCCTTTTGATTTGTGGAGATGGCTGTCCACTATTCGAGGAAAAAATGTTTCAATCTCTTACGATGTAGAAAATCAGGAGTAGGTTAAGTAGGTAAACTGATAGAATGGTCAAATGGTGGCCACAGCCGTGCCAAACCTAAGCTGGGTACCTAAATTTCACAGGCAAGTCCTCTATCCCTTGTTCTTCAGGCTTTATCACTTTGGCTAGCTCTATTAGAACATAATAACAGATGAAAATAACCGTACTTTCGTCTTGCCAATTATGTACGGTACCAATCAGCCAACCCGGGAGGGATGAGATTCCGAGTTGGAGTCGGCAGATATCCATCCGAGGTTCGATCCCCGTACCATACTTGTGTAAAGTGCCCATTAGCACCAACCCACCTCCGCTTTTTATAAAAAAAATCTCATAACAAACCAATGTTGTGTGTGAAGGCGAAGCTATTCCCTAATAACTAACGAATGTATGTGGCGTTTGCCAAAAAACTTGAATGAAATCGTTCGAGGATAAACCCCCGTTCTCAGTGATACTCACCACTTCTCTCTCGACTTTAACCCGGTAGCGCTGACAATAATTTTTTAAGAAGAAAGTCATTCTTCTTGAAATCCTTACCTTCGGATGCCTTTATCGACAATCAGTCATTTCGAGATTTTTTAGAAGGAACCTTTCACGGCTGTAGATCTTGTTGAACAAATGGGAAAGTTCCGTCTTGGTACATGCTTTGGCATGGCATGGACACCATTCGGAGGAGAATTAATGGTCATAGGTGGGAAATTTTTGAATGCGTTCTGAAATGAACTTGCCCTTTGGTTTATCGCTTTTGTCCCCCTACATGATCAATATTTTTTTCCATTCGTGCTGTTTTTGATGGAAATACCTCAGAAGAGTCACATTCAGAAGCCAATCGCTGCAGTGGTAAAGGAAAAATAATGATGACTGGAAAACTGGGAGATGTACTTCGAGAAAGTGTGGATGTTGCCCGAACGTGGATTCGAGCCAATGCGACCAGGTAATGAGTGTCAAGTAAACAGACTAGAACGGAATTTCATCGAATCTAAATACACAGTCCAAAACGGGCGGAAAGCATTCACATGATAGTCGACAACTGTCTCACCCTCACTAGTGGGTTAAGCTGAGGCATTTGTCACTGAACGGACGAGATCTACTAATCGGAAGAGCGCGAAAAGACATGCTCCCCGCCCGAATGCTCATCGCAGAATGTGTCCCGTATTTTGCTACCTCTGCATGTAAACCCTTTTTTTCCTGAAGCCTTTTTGAATCGTACTTGAGTAATTCGAAGTAGACTGTCAAAAATTACCCTTAGTTAGGGTAAATTTTAGCCTAATTAGTGCTTGCACTACTACCTATTCAGGCTTCGTGCTGACAACTTAGACGACGCTGATCTGCATGTTCACTTACCATCAGGAGCTGTGGGTAAAGATGGACCGTCAGCTGGTTGCGCTCTGGTTGCTGCCCTATTCTCGTTGGCCAGCAATCGACTTGTACGATCAGATACTGCAGTGACTGGAGAAATCAGCCTCACAGGACATGTTCTTCCGGTAAGCTACCAGCTATACAGCCATCTATGTATGGACTAATTGGGCTAGGCGAAGGAAGGCATTTGCAGTCTTTTATTCAAGGTAATCACTCCTGTCCTGTTGTGTATTACAGCATGAAAAATAATTGGAATTGTGTGAGAATACAGGAAGTTGGGCTAGTATCGTCATTAGGCAGCGGTACTTCTTTTCTTCGGGGTTCAGCCGTGCATTCAGCTTCTGCTTGAAAACGCAAAGGCATTCGAACATTTCAAGTAGCAGCTTGCTCCACTGTAGATGTTCATATCCTTGTTTCTCTTCCAAACAAGTTTGGTCGTATTTTCCGACTTCTGAGGGAAGTACGCCACGAATCTGACTTGTAAACGGAAATCTAAATATGTTTGAATGCGTATGAATTTCATGGATTGTCTAGGTGCCCATGTAGACATTTTGTATTGGATTGTATTCACTACCCGGCTATATATACTCTCCTCCATGTCCTTCACTAATATTGACCCTTTTCTCGAATTTCTATGAGTATAGGGATAGCACGGCCAGTTCTGAGGAGAATAGGCTTCGCATGGGTAACTGCGGCATCCTCAACCAATGAGACACTTCTTACTACCTCGAAAACTAAGACTTAGGATCAATTTCAATACAGTGGAGTCGCTCACTGAAGGATGTGTTTTTACAGGTGGGCGGCATCAAAGAGAAAGTCCTTGGAGCTCATCGGTCTGGCCTTCGACGAGTCATACTACCGACGGCTAACCGCAACGATGTAGACCACATTGAGAAGTCAATTAAGGTTTGTGATTTTTGCAGACTTATTTTTGAGATTAGAGGAAACTGGTAAACTTACAGCCAGAAGTTTGAATGATCTGTCAGGCTAGAGAAGTCACATTGTCAGAGCGGTGAGCCTCTCAGCGCTCTCGTACCACTCTGCTCTATCTCTTACTTTCTTTATCATCCAAACACTTCATTTGTTCGATTTTCTTCTGATTTTGAATTTTTGAAAGTTCAATTCGGTGGGTGTTAGAATTTTTTTAGACTTCTGAAAGTTTATGAAGTAATCTCTCTTCTTAAACACTGGCGATTTTAGGATGAAATGGATATCCAGTTCACTTCCGACATAGACGATCTACTGCAGAAGATCATGGAAAAAGAGACCGTTTCGAATATTCTATCAAAGCTGTGACCGCCATTTTTCATCTTTTTCATGATTGTAAATAAATGTATAAATTGTGCCGAACTGTTGCCTCCATAAATAGTCATTTCAATTTATACCTCAACTTTAACATTACAGCTTTGTCCGAGCTTCATTGGTACGTAAGATAGGCTGCCAAAAGTACTCTGACCAAAAAAACTACTGACGCGTCGCGACCGCACGCTTAGAATGTTTGATTTCGCTTGTCTAGAACACAGGACTGTAGGATACTTAAAAATGGGATAAATGAGAAAAATGGATCTTCCCGAATACTTCTCCGAATCCAGAAGGCAAAAATGAAGTAGTGGATAATAGTCTCTAATATATTATTCAAGAAATCGTCATCTAATAAATATGTACAATGTGGATAAAACTAAAAAATCAAAGAAGTATACCATGAAAACGAAATAAAAAACAGCTTGGCCGTCTTCTTCGTCTTTTCCATCGTACCTAACGGGTTTGCTTCTTTTCCAACGCTCTCAAACGTGCTTCATTTTCTTTGTATGTCAAAAAGTCTTCCATTTCTTCATGTAATAAACGCGGAGGAGCCATTATCCA